TAAATGAAGTTAGTAAAAAAAAGAATAAATGTTAAACTACCGTCAACCGGGGCTATTTTGTGCACCAAATAGCTTTTTTTTACTCAAAGATTTATTAAAATTCATAATTAAATGAGTAAAGAAAATCAACTTTTATATGTTGTGGACATCCTTCTGAAGGTTTCCTATAAATTTGACAAAGAAAAAAATTTTTTTGTCTTAGTTGTAGTCATTGAAACTTGTGCACACAATAGTTCCCGGGATGGGGCTATTTTGTGCATCAAACTTTGTCTTTCTATAATGTTGCGTAAAAATTTTTTTTAATCGTTTCTGCTTCATTAAATCTTTTGTGTATATATATTTGAGAGTAAATTAAAAAAAGAATGACCTAGTAAAATTTTTTTTTGTAGATATTATACAAAAAAATGTAAAATAAAACACTAAGATTTTGCTAAAACCTGGATTTACTAAAAATTAACAATCTTTCTTTAAATTGTATATTACGCAGATATTAAATAACATTTTTTTCTTTTTTAATATATATTTTATAATAATATATTAATATAATTATAAATTGATCGTTTAAACACTTATAAATAACTTTAAAACATCATTTCAATAGGAGCTTTTTTAATGGTTTTGAATGATATTTTTAAAAAACTTGAAATAAATATTATTAAAGTTAAATAGATAACAATTTAATATCTAATATACTTTTCAAGTTATTTTAAGAGAAACGAGAAAATAGTTTTAAAACTAATTTGAAAAACTTATAAATATTAATTAAAGTTCATTTTTTGAGGTTACGTTGCGCACCGGTTGAGGTTTTAATCGTTTTAATGATTTTAATTAACATATTTACAGTCTTTTGACAGAAAAGCAAGACAAAAATATATAAAAATGATACACAGAATCTTCTTTACTTACTAAATAAAACATTTATGAAAAATATTTGATTTTTTTAAGTGCACAAAATAGCCCCATGGAATCCTGGTTTTTCAGTTTTTTCCACTTTTCTCTTAAAATAATGAATAAAAAGTTAGCGCATTACGTATGTATCATCACAACACAATTGACAACAAATATCTAACTCAGTTTATGAGATACATTAAAACTCTAGAAGATCTGGTATAATTTTTCCGAACTTTCAAAATTTTTGACACAAATTTTCCGTTTTTAGGAATTTTTTTCTCTTAATTGACAAAGAATTAAATAATAACATTTAGTGCTCTCTATTACCAAGACGCTTTTAGTGTCTAAGACACCAAAAATGTCTCTAATCAAGACACCTCTTTTTGCAGTGATTGTCATGTAATCAAACTTTAATTGTACAAAATACCAGATTAAAATAATTCATTTTAATAATTTTATTCATTAAAAAACTCGCGTGCACAAAATAGCCCCCGGATGCACAAAATAGCCCCAGTTGACGGTATTTAAAAATGACATCTGCAATGTGGCTCCATATTAGACTCCCTATTCGATACTCGTTATTCGAGGGGTTTGAGGTCGCTGATTATCAATCTAACAAAGAGCTGACATTGAATAACTCCTAATCCTTATTTGTTACTTGTTACATAAAAAACAACAGGTAATCTATAAACATTTTTAGCTTTAACATATCATTTATTATCTTTCATTTTTGTTACATGTGGTCAAAAAGTTACAACCCACATAGCATCGAAACTTTTCAAAAAATTGAAAATACCTTGACTGCAATGTTCAAAATCTTTAATTACGAGGCTCTTTAAAGTTGAAGTAATTCTTTAAATTTCGACTGTTTTTCAATGTTTGACGCGAAAATTGACTGAACATTGAATAACAGCGGACATTTAAAGAACAACTTCAAGTTTCATAAGTTTTCCAACTAAAGATTCCAAAGGTTGCAGTCAAGTTAATTTAAACTTTCAGGAAATTTTCGGTGCTATGTGGGAAAAAACTGCAGAGCATTTAAAAGTAATTTTCAAAAAGTCTCTTTTCGTTTGAGATTTTACAATGTTTTGTACTATTCTTGACAAAAATTTAACTTTCCTTTGAGACGAGACTTTCTCTTTTTTAATTCTTCTTTCATATTCATTCTTAGTTATTCTTTTCATCAGCAGCAAAGATAGTGAATTAATTTTAGTTTTTATATGTGGACGTCCACATGAAAGAAGAAGACTTTGGCACTATTGGACTTATCTATATGGGCGAATTCCTTGCAAAATTTGAAAAATTTTGAGTGGTCTTAGAACCTTTTTGGTAAAAAATTCGATGAAAAGGTTTTGAATTTTTCCGTCCCTCCATTTTGCAACACATCAACAAAGTGGTCCCTTTTTATTTTTTTATCTAATAACGAAGTAAAATACTTAAAGTATCAATAAATTAATTAAAAATGCATGATTCGACGTGTGAGACCCTGTAGATTAAGAAAAAAGAATAAAAAAAGTTTCGATATTTTTTTCAAAATTAGTAAATTGCGATTATCTCCGAATCTCCCGAGTCGAACTTTTAGACCTGCTTACCTCCTGGTAAGTATAATTTAACCCTAACCTGCACCTAACAAACCCTTGGTGTTTTTTTCCTCCTGCGTAAGTTCTATTTAACTCTGACAACTCCTTTTTAAGTCCTAATTGAACCTTAAACCCTGTATTGCTTCTACCACATTCTTACGCAATAGGAAATGTTACGCGCGGTACAAGATATTCAACTTATTATTGTTTTGCAAATTACAAAATTTTTTATTTTGAAAATTTCACGAAAGAATTCAATTATTTTCTAAAATTTTAATAAATCCTTCGAAAAAATTCAATTATTTTTATAAATAGTAAAATTCTTCCGAAGAATTTAATTAATTTTATAAATAGTAAAATTCTTTGCAGGAATTCAATTATTTTCAAAACAATTTTAATTCAATTCCTTAGATGAATTCAAATATTTTAAAAATATTTTCATAAATTGCAATTATTTTCTTAAACTTTAATAAATTCTTCGAAATAATTCAACTATTTTTATAAATACTAAAACTCTTTGCAAGAATTAAATAATTATGAACCCAATTAAAATAAAATTAAACGAAAGAATTTAATTATTTTCAAAAATTCCCATAAAATTTAGTTTCAACAAGAATTTAAAATTTTTGAAAAACAATTTAATTATTCTCAAAATATTTTAAAAAAATTCTATATAAGAATTAAATTACTAGCTCAATACAATTTTTGAATATATTCGTCAAAAGAATTGAAATAATTTTATTATTTTCGAAAAGTAATTAAAATTCTTATGATGAATTCAATTATATTGAATATACTTAATTTTATAATAAAATTCTTTAAAGAAATTCAATTATTTTCGAAACAACTTTAATTGAATTTTTCGAAAAAATTTCATGATTTTTAAATATTTCTATAAAATTCTTCATAAACAATTTAATTATTTCTTAAAATTTTAATAAATTCTTCGCAAGAAATCACTTATTTTGAATACAATGTTAATAAAATTCTTCTTCATAAAATTCAATTGCTTTCGAAATTTCCAATTAAAATTATTAAAGAAACTCCATTAGTTTAAAAAAAAATTCAAAGAAATTTTTCAAAAAAATTTAATTAGGATTTTTAAAAATATTAATAAAATTCTTTGCGAGAATTTAGTTATTTTTCTAAATAAAGAAATTCTTTGAAGGAATATTCTATTATTATCAAATTTTTTGATAAAATTCTTTGCAACAATTCGAAGATTTTCAATACATTAATTTTAAAATTAAAAATATTTGAAAAGAAAAATTAAAAAAAGATTAAGAAACTAAAATGTAAACAACAATTAACTTCAAACTGCGAATAGGTTACCGAAACATGTACTTTTTTATTATTAATTTATAAATATTATTTTTAACTGAAATGTTTTGACATTTTTTTTAAATAATAAAAATATTAATTTATGAATGTTTAATGGTTATTATTATTAAACAATTTATTTATTTGCTGTAGTGTATTAGTGTCAATTAATGCTTAATTAAATCACTCAACAAGTCACTGAAAATAGAGCGCCTGTGTTCAGTTAGGTTCCGTAGCATAGTGGTTAGGGCGTTAGTTTCGTAGTCCGTAGTTCGTAGGTCGTTGGTTCAAGTCTCGCGTGCGTTAGATTTTATTTATTTCGTAGGTTTGCATTTATTCCGATTTTTCTGTATTGTATAGGTATAAGTATGCAATTTAATGATTATATGCACCGTTAAATAATTTAATTAACAAATATTAAATTAAAATTTTTTTTATATATATAAATGGATATGTATTAATCCCCACATATATACTAACATTATTTATGAATTCGCTATTGGTCACGATTAAATTAAAAAAAAAGTAAAAATCATTAAATAATAATGCCATTTATTAATAATTAAAGTTATTATAAAAATTAGTTAAAAATGATCTCAAATATGCTATGAGCAGTTTTTCCAGGGTTTTTGGAGAGGAAAGAATTCTGTAAGTAAGGGTCAAGCAGTATTTAATAAGGTTCTAGGAACACCTGCTTTCCCCCTTTTACCATCTAAATTTGTCGCTAACCAGGGGTTTGCAGGAGGTAATCAGAGTTAACTTGCAATGCAAATAAACTCTGCTTTCATCCTATTACATCCTTACAAACCCTCAGTTTTAAGGAGGTAAGCAGGTCTAAAAGTTCGAATCGGGCTAGAACCGACAAAGTGGTTCCTTTTCATGCGGACGTCCACATATTATTCCTATTACCTCAAATATAACGAATATTTTCGTACATTTTACTGACATAGATTTCAGTTTTATTTAATTTATTTATGTTACGGTCTTCGTCATTCAACAAATCATTTGACTTTTCATTAGAGAATTTCTCTACTCTGTCATTTAATATTTTTATTTCTGTATCTGGAAACAATACGTCTTCGGTATCATGCAAGCAAACTTTTGTTTTTGCTGCAAATGAGAAACCTACAACCTGGAGAGATTTCTTGTTTATGCTGCTAATGTTATTATGGGCAAGAATTTATAAAAAACCAAGTGAAAAACCGAAGATTTCTGAAAAATGCTGTAATGTATTTATTATTGAATTTTGTTAATTTTTGACATGAAAACAGTTAAATAATTATTATGTTTTTAGAAATGAATGTCATTCGTTTTTAGACAGTCGATTCACGGCTTTTAAAACGCAGGAGATGCTTTAATAACGTCTGCATAGTATTAATAGATAATTTCCCCAAAGCCTCTCTTCGTTTCAGATTTTTTAAGGTTTTGTATTTTTTCTGACAAATCTCTAATTTTCTTTCGAGACGAGATGTTGACAACTGTAATTATTTTATCATAAGTATTCTTCGTAATGTTTTTCATCAGCAGCAAACATAATAAAATTAATGTCTTGATCTTTGTATATGCAACATTGACAAGAGCTTCAAATCCGTAATTTAATATTAATATTTTATTTGACTTTAATATAAAAGCACTAAATTTAATTAGTTTTATTTTATTCGCATAATTTTTCTTCACAATTAACTTTTTCAAACTAAAATCAATTCCTTCCAAAATTTTAATTTTAACCTGTATATCAGAATCATTATTATTAACACTAGTACGAATGTTTCTGTGCATGTTTCTAAAATAGAGTTTAGTTTCCTTTAATTTTTCTATGTTACGGCCTCCGATATTCAACAAATCATTTGACTTTTCATTGAAGAATTTCTGTACTCTATCATTTAATATATTTATTTCTGTATTTGAAAACAATACGTCCATGGTACTATACAAGCACACTTCTGTTTTTGCTGACAAGGAGAAACCTACATCCTAGAGAGATGTATTGTTTATGTTTCTGGTGTTTCTAATAGCTTGAATAATATTTTCATCGATAGAAGAATTCACTTTACCTATGACTTCTGCGTTCCTAAAGAAGGCAACTCGATTGTTATGATTTACTACATGTTGTATAAAGTCTTTTGAATCTTTAGATAGATTAAATTCAGTTCTTGATTGTGATAATAAATTGTTTAATTGGTTGTTTATGTATTCATAACGGATTGGAAATCCACGGAGATTGTAAGGTGCTCTTGAGAAAATTACTGATATACTTGGAAAAATTTTGTTAAACTTGCCATTGAAAAACTTTTCCAGATTCTTCAAAAGACTTAGAAAATTTTCTATGATATCACTTTCAATGTCATAGAAGTTAACAACTAAAATGAATTTTACAGATTTCATTCTTCTTGTCAAACGGTACAGATAAAAAGAATTTTTTAAATCTTGAAGTGGGCCTCTAATGTCCTGAAATCCAGAAGTATTCCAGATTGTCAAATTCTGTAATTCTGTCCTTTTTGAGTTCCATTTTGAGGGAATATTAGTCACTGGCAATAATCCACTACTAATTTCTGGTCCTGTAGAATTTACGTCAAATTTTCTTATTATTATTCAATCATATCGACTAGACCCTCTGTAACCTGCCAGTTGATTGCCCATTAAGTAATTAATTAGTGTAGAGGAGAACGGGGCGAGGCAGCCAAGACTTACTTTTATTTTGTTGGTAAACTTCAAAAATTTACATTTGAATTATATTATAATAATAACATTAATTAAATTCAATTTAACATTTTAAGGAAATATAAATTTGTTATTCTTAAAAAATGGTTCCTAAAATTCAATGTTAAGTTTAAAATGTATTGGAGTAGGAAAAAAAGAGAAAACATTTAGAAGAACCAATAAAGTCAACACAAAAAGGCGAAAAATTTAGTGTTGGCTGCCTAACCCTAAGAGTACTTTTTTAAGAAAACATCCACAAAACCCGTAATATTAAAAATATCGCAATTTCATTAACACCATCGTCTTCAGCACTAAATTCTGCATTAAAAATCACTTTACAAGAATTTTATTCGTGTAACTCTATTAACTAAAATCACCAAAATAACTCTTAGAAAAGTTACATCCAAAAAGTCTGTTTTCATAAATGATACTGTCATTGCTAAACTGCTGCAGCAATAATGCCCATCTGTTAGCAACTAAAGTAAACTACCATAAGCAGTGTAAATTATCAATAGCGCACGATTTGAAAAAATTATGCAGAAATAAGAAGCAATTGGCTGCCTCGCCCCGTTCTCCTCTACTTTTTCCACTCATTGCGGTTCCAATGACAATTGCCGCATTTTTCCTTCCACCTCGAGATTCTATTTCCATTTGCTTATCCGCATCAACAAAAGCTTGTTTTAATTCATTCACCTCATCAATACTGAACTCGCATTTTCGGCTTCTGGTCATTGAAATTAATAAGCGGATTATTGCTATTCTGATCATGATTGATAAATGATAAGTTGTAACGCTTTTCTGTTGGTATTCAATGTCCTGAAACGTTGACAAAGATATTAGCTGAGCCGTGTGAAAAAATTTAGCTGTTTGTTAGGTATTAGTCTGTCTTAAAATATTAACCATAACAGATTAAGTGGGGGAAAGGCTTGCAGGTTGCCATATCTAAGAATTGCATTAAAAAAAAGAAAAATTATTTATATTAACATACCATCAGAAAGAGGACCTAAATAGCTACAAATTTGGCCAATAGATAATTTAAGGAGGAACTGGATAAATATTAGAAATTCTCAGAAATTCTTGAAATTTTGAGGTTTTTTTTCTTTTGATATAATAAATAAGTACCAAAAATTTCAGAATTTTTCACTGCATAGTTTAAAAGTTATAAAATTATAAATTTAACACGGTCTCTTATGGAGGAACCAACAAATTGAATCTTAACAAACGAAAAAATACTGTTTAAAAATCTCAACTTTTTTAAATATCTTTATAAATAAGATAAGACTTTTGTCTGTACATTGCATAGAATTTGAAATTTCATGTTTAGTTTTTCTATTCGAGTAGTAAGAATTCCAAAAATGACAATAAAAAAAATTATGTATGTATGTATGTATGTCTGTACGCAATATTTTGTCCGGGATAAACACAAAGACTACTTGACCGATTAAAACGAAACTTTACAGTCTCTTTGGTCTGAGTCTAACTTAAATTTATAGCCATATCCGATTGAAAAATATTAAGCTGAACGAAAGTTATAGCTTTTTTCACAAAATTCAAAAAATCAAAAAAATGCAAATTTTTTAAATTTTTGTCAAATTGATGTGACACTTTTTGTAGCTACTTTTTAATGTAAACACAACTAATTTTTACTATAAAAATGAAATATAAATAATTAATCCGAATTTTTAAGCCAAAATCATATTTTTGATTTTCGACAAAATTTTTAATTAATTTTTTTTGTTGAATATTGTTTAATTTTTTATTAAGTTGGTAGTGATATCGATTGATGTTTTTAAATTTTTAATTACATTCATTACATTTATTTTATTAAAAAGTTTAGAGTCATGAATTTGATGCCGATTACAAATTTTCTAAAATCAATTAACGTGAGAGTTTGCAATCAATTTCTATATTCATATTTTCAGGTTTTAAGTTTGAAAATTTCATAGTATGTATTATCATATTTAACGTAGAAAATAAAATATTTATGTTCAATATAAAGGGTATACAGTAAAAGTATCAATAATACTGAAATTTGACTTCAGCGGGCACTAGGACACAGAAAGTCCTTAAGATTTATGAATTGGGATTTATGAATCAAAATTTTCTTTTTTTGAATTCAAGAAATGTTTTAGAAATGACTTTGAAAATAAATAACAAATTCCTATTTATGAATTAAAATTGTTCTTCTTGAATTTTAGAAATGTTTGGGGTATGGTGTTGCTTTCCAAAATTCTATCCGGGCATTACACAAAAACGGGTAAAATGTAAAATCCCATGTGGAAATTTTTAATAGGGATATGGAAAAATTATACCATACAGTTTTACATAGGAATCAATATGGTTTCCTTTATAAAAGTAGATCCCATGTAGATTTCCCATGTGGGAATCAAAAACGTGTTATAATTTCTACTAATACATTTAACAGAGTGTCTATTAATCGGAAAGGTATCCCGAGAAATAGCCGGGAATTTAATTCGACTAGAAAAATCGGGAATTTTCTTATCTAATTAAAAAAAGTTTTATTATATTAATTCATTTTTAAAAAATTGTTTTTGCTTTAATTTCTATTGATGTAATATTTTTATTTGTCAAAATTTAAGACCTACTTTCAGATTACAATATAGGTCTTATTTTTGATTTTAGCAGTCGTAACGTGGGGACTACTTGCGATACAATTAGTTCGAATTAGACTCTTATATAACTCCAAAAGCTGGTGGAAAATTACTATTAATTATTAATGCATTAATTAAAATACTACGAACGCATAAAGTACTACAAATTGACAAATACTGTTCTGTAAATCTGAATTAGTTGAAAATAGTATTTGATAGAAAAAGTCATTTACTGATTTAAATGGTAATATTTTGATAATGAAATAGTTAATGGTAACTAATTATTAGTTTTTCCCAGTCAAATTAAATTCCCAATTGGTAGACACCTGTTCAATTATATTAGTAGAAACTAAAACCCGTCGAAGACGGGTACGACAGCTAGTAAATATATATGAAAGCTAAAGATGCCAGTTTTAATAAATAATTAATTTTGTGTGTCTTCACAAGCTAGTTTAACAGAAAATAATAAAAATACGAAAAGAAACACAAGTTTCTCAAAAGTTTTAGTAGAAACCAAGAAGACTAGAAACAGGAGGTAAAACTTCGGTAGTAGGGGTATGGCAATGCTGAGTCACTCAGCTGATGTATGGTCAGGCGTTTACTTTCAAAAAAGTTTTCGCCGCAATAGACCACATGGACTTCTGCGCATCTAAACACGTAAACACGGGAAAATATATTCTATAGGGTCAAACCATTTTATTTCAACTAAAGTGGTCGCGACCTATTTTTTAAAAAATTTGGTTTTGAAATATATTAAAAAGTAATGTTTTGAGATTATATTTCTGGTATTAATTTTTAAAAATATTTAATAGTTTATTCAAAAATTAATTTTTTATCTTTGGAGGTTTAGAAAAATGTCAAATTTAAGCACATTTTCACTAGATTAAAACTGTTTAGAATAAGATAAAATTAAATTAAATTTATACTGTATCATTAAAAAATGATTAAATTTTTATTTTTGACTAATCAAAGTGATTCTAATAACGAAATAAATAAAGAAAACTTAAATTAAAGCAGAAGACAAAAGTGTCGATTTAGCCACATTTTGAGAGCTTAATTTAGAGCAATATTTATAATTTTTTAAATTGAATTTTACCTTTTTGGATGTATTATTTATTGAAATTTTAAGATTTCTTGGTTTTATCTTTTAAATTGCAGCTGAAACGAAGAAATTTTCGATAAAAAAGTCACTCATTTGGAGGTTTTGTCAATTTTGAAATCCTTATATCTCTTTTGGAGAAAAATGAAAAATCCAAATTCTCTTGCCATAATTAAATCAATTCTTCGCTTATTCTCTTCTAAAGTTTGACGTTGGTCCCAAAAATAGTTTTTTAAATAAACGCATTTTAAAATTTGTGTTTTGATTCTGCTTTTAACAGGTTAAATTATCACTTGTTTTCAAACTGAAGTTTGCTTTTATATTGTCGTTTTATATTTTCAATAAAATTCAAATTTGTAAGATAATGAAAAGGCCTATTTTACGGTTTGTTTAGATAACATTTATTTTGAAATCCCAACTAGTTTCGAACCATACATGGTTCCTCATCAGGGGATGAATAATTTTCACAAATACATTATCCAAAATTAAGACAAAGCACAAAAGATTTCAAAAAGGATTAAATTATAAAATGATCTGAAAAAGAAAAATTAAAAAATTGTTTCAAATCTAATTGTAATGTATTTTAAGGTTATATTTTAATTTATGAAAAAGAGAAAGTAAAAAAGTTTCTTACCCTTTAGAAAAAAAATAAGCATATAATAAAAAATTTTTCAAAAAATTTTTTATAATCCATATTGATTTTTTTTAATATATAATTAATAAATTTTAAAAATTTTGTAGAAGCACATTTTTTTAGAAATGTGTTTCTATGATTAAAGAGTTTTGACAGAGAGGTTGGGTTATGTAGTAGGGTCCAGGTATTGTTGGTAAAGAAGAAATCTATGTTATTGGACTTTTTAAATTATGTTTTATAAGAAGTAATTAAATTATAATATACTTTATCTAAATTATCAATATCTGTTCTATAATTAATACTATTAGTATTATTTTTTATATAGAACATTTCTAAATTTTTTCTTTTCCAATTATTTGTTTCAATATGTAAAATATTTATATTGTCAAAATCAAAAGAATGTTTATTATCAAAGGTATAATTAGTTAAAGCATTAATATTTTGGTTGTGAGTAACGTAACGTTTATGCTCTTTTATTCTAGTTTTAAGATGTCTTAGAGTTTCTCCGATATAACAACTATTACAATTTTTGCATTGAATTTTATACACACATCCAACCTTCTGAAATTTCTCTGTTGGATCTTTAAAATTTGGAAAGATACCATTTTTTAAATTATTAGAGTTAGTGAAAACTAAATTGAAATTATGTTTTTTGAAAATATTAAAGAGAATTTCATCAAAATTTTGAATATATGAAATGCTTATAATTTTTTCAATTGGAAGATTGTTGTTGTTTATTTTTCTCCTATGTGAGTAATTAGTAAGAGCACTATACCTCTGTGAATCTTTCTATTTAACAAATCAATTGGGTATCCGTTAAGTAGTAAAGTTCTTTTAACAATATCAAGATTTTCGAGATGGAATTGTTGATCTGACAATTTTATAGCCCTATCAACTAGAGTATATATAATGCCAATTTTATAACTTAGAGGATGATGTGAATAGAAATTCATATATCTGCCAGTCCAGATAGATTTACGAAATTAATTTGTTATAACAAAGTTATTACTGTCAATTGAGAGGGAAAGATCTAGAAAATTAATTTTATTATTATTATATAATTCTAAAGTAAATTTTAGGTGTTTATCGATGGAGTTAAATCTACATAATATATCATCCACCTTATTTGAAGGTGCACAAATTAATATATCATCAATATATCGAAAGTAAAAAATAATTTTATATTTAATTTTGCTTAAAATTTTATCCTCAATACCCTCCTTGACAATATTAGCTGCACTTGAGGATATTGGGGAACCCATTGGTAAGCCAAATATTTGTTTATAAAATTCTCCTTGAAATTGACAGTATGCAGAGTTTAAACATAGATTTAAAGCTTCAAGAAAATCACCCTGCGAGAGGTTTGTATGTTTTTCAACTTCTGACCATTTGTTTTTAATAGTGTCATTGATAAGTGTCCAAGATATGTTTGTATACATGGAAACAACATCGAGTGAAAAGATAGTAAAAT